CAGAGCCTGACGCAGGGCTCGAACTCAGGGACCGCGAGATTGTGACCTGGCTGAAGTCGGACGCTTAACCGACTGCACCACCCAGGCGCCCCAAGGCACTGGTGATTCTATGACGCGAGGCAGACAGAACACTAAGGAAACTTTTAGCGCGGTGCATGGCTTCGGTGATGGGATAGTGACGGGCCGGAGGTGCTGAGATCTACCCAGGAGCTGTGCAGAGCAGGGAAGGGCCTGACGGCTGGTGCAAAGACCCCAGAGCGGGAGTGCGCCTAGTGTGCGTGAGATGCACAGAAAGACCAGGCAGCGATATTGTCAAGGGGATGGGAGGGTGTCAGAGCCGAGGTTGAAGAGGCAGGTGAGCCGTGTCATGTGAGGCTCAGAGTGGTGGGAAAGCCTTGGGGTCAGCTAAGGGGAACAGAGTATGTGTGTCCGGGGGAGGGTGATGAGGGTGGCCGTAGGGAGACCAGTAAGGAGGCTACTGCAGTTGTCCAAGCAGGAGGTGGCCTGGGCCATCTGCTAATGGAGCCGTGAACTCTGATTCTAAGCATTCTGAGTGGACATCTCTTGTTGGGGTGGTGGACAGGGGTGTAAAGGAAGCCAGAGCCCCAGTAAGCAAGCAAGGACCATGCTCCCCAAAAAGTAGTGGCCGGCTCCCGCCTTTGGTGCCCTGAGAAGCCCAGGGAGGGCCGAGGCAGAGTTGGATGGAGAAGGTTTGGAAGAGCCCCTTCCTGTTCTCAGAGAAAGCTTAGCAGGGGAGCCGGGACGGGGTGCAGGGAGGGGGCAGGGCTGGGAAGCACAGAGGCTGAAGGCAGAGGGTTTCTGGGAGATGAGATGTGCTGGGAGGAGAAGCAGGAAAGGGCCGGGAGTTGGGCTGCCCCAGACTTTTAGCCTCCGGGGACGCAAGCCAAGCCGCCTAACCCGGCAGGGCCTCAGTTTCCACATCTGTAAAGTGGGGCTCCTGGTTCCAGCTCTGTTCCTCCAAGCGGTCAAGAGACACTGTTGATTTGTTTTTGAGCAGCCTCTAAGAATGGACCCAGCCTTAGAGCAGGCCGATGGGGCCCTGGCCACCAAGGCCTCTGCTCAAAAGGTGGCCTTTCCGGTCCCATCTAGCAATGGCCTCCGGGAGGCCACAAAGCCCTTGACAAAGTGTAAGTGCTGTGAGGACACCAACTCCTCCGTGTCTGCTGAGGTCCTGCCCGTGGGCCTGCAGCCCTCCCACGGTCATCGTGGGCAAAAGGCTCAGCAGGTGGGGCTGGCGGGGGGACAGTAGGCAGAGGAGGAGGCTTCCTGGGCCATCTGGAACCTCTGGAGCAGTGCAGGGGGAAGCCAGAGCTTCCTGCTGGAGGAGACCAGGCAGCCAGGTGAGGCTCACCACTGTGGCCACCAGGCTTCACTCCATCCTTACTTCCCGTTGTGAAGACTGGAACTGTCAGCTCCCAAGTCCTCAGCACCCAAGCCCAGAGTCATCTGCCCCCCGCCTTTCCTCACCCTACACATCCACCCACCGGCAAATCCCCTCCGCTCCCAGATCGTCCCGCATCTGCCCACGCCTCCGTCTCCACAGCTACCACCCTGGTCCAAAGCCGTGTCACATTTCACCTGGCCACGGGACAGCTCCCGCCCCCAGCTAGCTGTCTCCCCTCAGCTCAAGCCCTCCCGTGGTTCCCGTGGCAGCTGGAAGAACATCTTGGAGGCCGGTGCACCTTGATCGCGTGCTGACCTCCTGACACACGCGTCTCCCTTCCCGTGGGCTCTGTGTGCCCGCGTGGCCCGCCACCCACCCAGCCTGCTGAGGCCTGGTCCCGCTGAGGCCTCTCCTCCCCTGCGCCTTCCACCCGGAGGCCTTTTCCCCACCTGATGACTGGTTACCTCTTGTCATTCAGGTTTCGGCCAAGCGTCCCCGCTTCTGAGAGGCCTCTCTGGCCGCCCTAGCTAAATCCTTGTGCCCCAGTCATCTCTGGTCCATTACCCTGTTCTGTTTCCCTGGAGGCATCTTTTTTTTTTTTTT